AAGTATGTCAAAAGTCCAACTCTTTTTTTTTAACCACAGATTTTGCATTCGCCCTCACTTTTTTGGTGTATTACATTCTACCAGTCAAGGTTTAGAAAAAAGATTTTCTTCTGAAATTTACAAAAATTTCTAATATTCGATATTTAATTTGAGACAATTAGCAACTCCATTCACATCAACACTCGTATCTATTCGATGGCAGTGATCGTGATCTTTGATAAGCAACTGGAAATCTAAATGAAAATATTAATGTGTTTTTAGTAAACATGGAAACAATCATTGGCATATTTCCAATTATTTTATGTTCGTATCCGTCCCACTTTCCTTCTGTAAAAATCCTAATGACTGTCACACTGATTATTGATTATATTTATCAAATCTTGAAAAATAAATCTTACTATTTGATATTCATCATTTTATGCGAGATCTGGTTTGAACTGCCTCATGGAAGGATTTTTCTCTGCTAATATAGGCATCAAATTTTAGAAATTTTCTAAATTCGACACTGAAGAGTTGCTATAATCTTTGCTTATTAGCATTGATAAACCTCATTTTTGATGCTCTTTCATTTGATATAAAATTCTTTACTAATGTTATTCAAAATTACACCGTTATTCCACTGTAATAGCATTTTTACGTATCCTCTACGCAAAGATTGTTTCCAATATATACATCTGCCATTTTCGGAAGAATATGAGGAAGTATATTGCTTTGCAGTAACATTGACGTGACATCTTTGATAGATTTATGAATCGTCTATAGATCGATATCAACAGAATTCAATCATCAAATATTTGTTCTTCTCGTTGACGACAGACAGAATGGAAGAAAAAATCAGATTAACTCAAATGCTACTATGACTTTCCCAGCGCGACACGTGAAAAAAACATTCTGAAAATATTCAAATTACAACTATATAAAAAATAAGTAATGGGTTGCATTCGAGAAATTAACTACTCAAAACCACTCGAATGATCACACATTTTCAACACTTAATGGATGCAAGCGATCAAGTCTATTCTTTCGTTCAATTTCAATAGAAGCAGAAATCGATCAGGGTTCGAATAACTCCACAGCAGCGAGTATAATGCCACCGATTAAACATAAAAAGCAATTGAATAAAACCCTGTTGATGCTACACATACTGAAGATTCAACTTCAACGAAGGTTTGTGTAGACAAAAAATTATTTTTCTTTCTGCATCTCTTTTAAAAAATGTCATAGTTGAGTAATTGATTATGATTTTTAGACGAAGCGAATGTTAACACAATCTGTAGAATGAAGCAAATTGCTATAGGAAAAAGACTAGTCCTCAACTACCGGGATCTTATGATAATCTACAAGTTTTAAGATCTGTCGACATTTGCATTCTACTTTTTAACATGTGCTTATCGTTTTTTCACCTAATAATGTTGTTTAGAATAGTCGACATGTTCTTCAGTAAAATTGGCGAGTAACAAACAAAATTACGCATATCGATCCGAGTACATGACATATTTGTGTATGTTGTTCTTTGTTTTTATTTCACGAATTTCATACTGTATAGATGTTATGTTGACACTGCACTATTTTTTGCGCTTAACAGTCGAAGAGAAATAAGAGAAGCAGCTATTTATTTTATGAAAACATATGTAGTGTGTGTCTCAATACGCGCTAACGAAATCTCTGGCTGTTTCATTTTTGCTGCTATAATTCCGTCTTGTTGGAGAGTATTATTTGAGTTCGTAGCTAATAATTCAATGCAAATAAACATTATGCGATTAGTTCTTTACCTTCAACAGCAATCAGTGTAGGCGATCGTCGTTAAATTGTATTTATCTACGTCAAACAAAGTATGTTGCGAAAGAAAAATACCTTTGAGATTTGTTTTATGCTTCGGAAGGCACATCAAGAGAAGCAGAGCAGGAACAACACATAAAACTATGGAAGAAGACTGAAATGATTCTTCCCTTTCATAGCAAAGAAAAAAAGGTTTTGTTTTTTATTATTTATTTAAAAGAGCATCAGGTCATGTCCAACGAAATATGTTGAAAATGTATGTGGTACAAGAGTCGTTCAAGATTAGTGCCACTCTGATTGAATCTTTTTCATGAGGTCTGACGGACCTATTTAAAGCTCTTCTTTTCTATCTGCTGACCCACTTTCCCTCATTCAAGCATCACAAAAATACTCTGAAGAAGTATTAGAAAACAACAGTTGATCAGTAAACATTGTTACAATCGAATCTCAAATCTCTATAGTCTTTTTTTTATTGTGTTACGCTTTAAGAAGTTTAGTTGATCCGCTTGAGCTTTGTTTCTCTTCCTATATTATATATATTGTATAGTTTCTCTCTGGGATTTATGGAGCAGACTCTTGCTTCTAATTTATTCGTTTCTAAAGCTCTCACGAAAATTTGACTATTTTATAGTGTGTAGTATGATTCAAATTAGCTCTTTTCATTTCAGTTGACTGCATCTAACCGTATTCAGTGTCGGTTCAGTTTCATGATGTCTTCCATTTAAATGATTGCGTCATGATTTCGTCTTCTGATGCTTTAAACTAATGCAACTGATCAAAATGTTTCATTTGGTTTTATTGTCAACAAGTATTACAAATGTCAGGATACATTGTATTTTGAGAAGAAAGTGAACCATATAAGCGACAAACATCTCTGCTTAGTTCAACATGTAGTAATGACTGTGTCTTATAGAACTTGAGATAGGATTCATCTTATCTTTATTTTCTCGTTCTCAAGTTGCTTGCAGATATTTAAAATGAACTTCAATGAGTTTGTTTTCATTCAATCCATTTTTGATACTGCAGATCACATTATCGCAAAACTTTGAACTCAGTGCATTACTGTTAGTAGCGATATTTGCAGTTCGATTTGTGTTTGCTTCAACAACAACGCAATCACGCATATGTAATGATCTGTTTCGAATCATAACAACGAAATAAAAACAAACTACTTTAGCGTTTTTAAAAGTACATGTTTGATTAACCTATTTTACTATGTTTGTTTCTCTCGGTACTACAACCTTACATTATCTTTTCTTTTCTCTTAACTATGCATAGCTCCCATGTAATATAAATAACATGATATGAAAAGTACCAGTACACATAACGTTTTATTTGTGTATTAGAGTTCATAAAACGTTGTTTTCTTCATTGCTCGACATCTTCGCCCAGGTAACCTATCAATATTAGTAAACGACATTGTAAGAAAAAAGTACGATGAAAATTGTGCTCTTTCAAAACTATTACTTAACATGATTATATGAGAACGCACAATGGCGATGCTGTGCATCCTATATAATCTTGCCCTTCGGTGATAAATCATCACAGTGTTAGATCATTTGGGAACTTTGCAAAATAAACTCTAGATAACAGAGAACTTTATCGTTGCAAGAAAGTACTGATATCTATCATAATATTCAAACGGTATGATCATAAATAACATAAAAAATATCCATTCAGAGTATACAGTTTATATCGGCTATTAAACTATAATTTTCCAGCTAATATTTTGCGTTACTAATCTATTTTTTATCTTTCGAACTTTTCTCTACTCTGCGAGTTCGACCTAGTCCTGAACAATCCTAATAAACATAAATGCTAAATCAGTTATTTCCTACTTATTAGAAGAAATTTCCAAGTTGAACATTCTACTTTACATCTGACTTGCAACAGCTCGGAGAGCTCAGTCATTTGAGAAGAGGCCTCAAATATTTTCTTCTCGTAGTTTTGGTTCTCGAGTTATTGTCGTCTCAGTGATGTATTAACTGTAGTTGAGAGATTTGCAAAAAGTTCGAATAATAGAAATTTTCGCTCCAGTTTAGCACTATGGAAAGGTTCACAATCACCGGATTGGTTTAATGTGTGACTCTTGATGCTTCGATGTCCTGGAAAAAAATTTCTTGTAGGCTGATACGTTTGGAATGGTGTGATGACAATGAAACATGTTTGTAGGCTTAGTTGCAGATCAAAAGTCTGTAATTTGACAGTTTTTAATCTGTTTTAAGTAAGGCAGAGATTTTAATAAAACCGTCATAACTCAAAACTAAAACTGCAAGTAGAGAAACTTGTTTTAGACCTCTCCACAACACATCAGGTTCTGCAAACTATTGGACACCTAATTTAAAATATTGTATCACACTTACCAGTCGTATTGTGTGAGTACGTTTCATTGTTTTCTTTCCTTGCTTTTTAATACTCGTGCTAAGGAGCAAAGAACAAGCGAATTTAAGCATTGAAACAACTAATAAAAGAAAAAAGGCATTGCCCTTGAGGAATTTGTTTTTTTTCACGTATTACTGAAGTTACAAGGTAAATTCGTCGAATTTATTAGAATTGAGATTTGATTTAGGTAAAAATCGTTGAAATTGATTAGCATTTATACGAAAAGATCTAACATAAATTTATCGAGTTTAGTATCTGTCGGATATTGAGTCTTTCTAAAATTTATAGATTTTCGACATCTACAGATTGGTACCCAGATTGATGCAAAATCAACACTCTCATATCCATGTGTCTCCTTGAAGCTTTTCTTAATTATTGATATAGATTTTTTCGAAACATGATACTAAAACGTGGCATGTATTTTGTACCGAGAATGTTACTCCTTGATAGTTATTTATTTTACATGGTGAGAATCGATCCTATTTGAAGATAATATCCGCAAGATATTGAACAGGATAAATATGCGCCGGATCTTTCGCTACCAATGCTAATCCATGTCGAACAGTTTCGATTCGAATTTCAAACTAAAAATTGGAATTGAAATTAATATTTCCCTATGATTAGCTCGACGATAAGTGTAAGGCTTCGGAGTCAACGAATTATTTCACAGTCAACAGCTGAAAAATAGTTAGTACCTTTGATTGATTTATTAGTAAGTTATGTATATGGTGTGGAGTAACTACTCGAAACGAACGTCTTGTTCTGTATTACATTAATATTTCATAGCAGCAAATTGATCATAGATATTTACACATTGAATTAACATTCAACACGACATCATGCCACTCTTGACTGTGATCGTCTTTTGCGCTACTATTTTTCATGCGCAAAGTATAACGTACAACATTACTAATTCAACCGCGAGCTGGCAAACTATTTTAACTAATCTCAAAGCGGGTGACGTTGCTGTCATGCGCTATGGTATCTATACAACAGCGGGCTCTGGCTACTTCCAATTAACTTTGAACGGTACTCTTACCAAGCCGATTATTATCCAAGGTGCACCTAATGAGTCACGCCCGATTATTCAGTGTGCTCAAATCGGTGCAAGTGCTCAAAATATCATGAATATTCAAGGTTCAAATTTTATGGTGAAAGGAATAGCATTTACCAAAGGTTCAAGAGGAATTCGTGTCGGACCGGCTGGTACGTAACTCAAGATTTCTCAATGTTCTTCACTATCTCACTCTGTTTTCTAACTGAACATCTAGTTACAACGAATGCAATTTTCGACAATATTTACATTTACAACACCACTGGAACAGCATTTTCAGCCAACGATGCCGGCAATGAATATGTTAATATAACATTACGAAACAGTGAAATAACAAATACAAATGCTATGAGTAAGTATTGATTATGAATTGTCTCTTTGGTACTATCTCACTATTATTTTTACAAATACAGCTAATACAACGGGTGAATGCGTTTATTTGGGATGTACCAACGACACTTGCCGAATTCGTGATTCAGTCATTGATCACAACTACTGTCATGATACTCTTGGTTCCGTAGGAGGTTCAAGGGCTGGATTCCAAGTCAAAGTAAGTCTAGATTGATGTTGCTTTGTTGAACAATTTTGTGCTTCTTTAGTCTGGTTCATACAATGTTATTATTCGTAATAATGTTTGTTACAAAGTAGTTGGTCCTTGTATTGTTGTTTATGATGATTATGATCGTGGACGAAACTTGATTGATGGAAATTTGGCAATCAATGCTGGAACAGCTGACCTTGGAATACAATGTACATCGGGAGCAACAATCACTAATAATATTGTGATTAATGCCTGTAGGTGCAGAATTTTGATATGAGAGCATCGATCGTGCTCTTTCGAATAGACTTGTATACTCTTATGTGATAACAGCAATGAGCAACTGTTCGATTCCTAAAACCTTCTAAGTCAAATTTTATTAGAATGATTTAGAGAAAAAGTTTTGAGAAAAAAGCAAAACATTGTCAAACATAAGGAACCTTTTTTCTCATACCTAGTCTGAAGAATATTCTTTTATTCGTCTTAAGTCAGATGGAGCAATATGGTCTTTCTTTCCAAAGAAGACTATATTGCTTGACAAAAATAAGAAAAGTTAAGAGAACCTAAGTACAAACAATCAACAAAACTATTGATTTATCTGACTTTCGACTATTAAGCTCTTGCTGGAATTGGCGTCATACAGAACTCGATTTACTCTGCTATCAACTATATTCGAAATGTAACAATTAGTCGAAATACTGTTTACATGTCGCAACAGGATGCATGTCTTCGTCTCAACGGCGTTACAAATAAGAATATTACAATCGCTAATAATGTACTATACTGCCGAAATCAATCATCAATCAAAGCAACAAATGATTTGACAGGTAACTTTATATAAACATTAGTTTGGTACGTATTTTCGAAGTATATGAACTTTTTATTGTTCTAGGTGCCTCAATTTACAATAACGCTATCAATGGCAGTATTAGTGCTACAGGCATTCAATTATGTGGAACATTCACAATCGCTAACAATGTATTCTTGAATGCTACAGCCAATAACCTTTATCCTGCTGTAAACTCTTCACTGATCAATAAAGGTGCGAATCCACCGTATCAAGCTCTTTATGATTACAATGGTTTGGCGAGATCCCTGGCAACACCAACTGTTGGGGCATATGTAAGCAGCACTGACACTACTTTATTGAACTATTACTAATCCGATGTGTTTCTCTACTCTTTAGGAATATTCTACTACAAACAATCCCGGCTGTGTGACAAAAAACAGTTTTAAATGTGGTTCCTCTACAGCTGCTGTACCACAATATCCTCTAATCCGTTAAATGTTGACATCATTTTAGTCGAGACTTGAACCACTTTCATTCGAATCCTATGTATGCCATATATTATAACGATATTTGCTTTCGTTTAGATATACGTTAATAAAGAAGAGTGTGGGTGTCAGTGTTAATCTCATTTTGGTCCACACACATATTCACACTCACATTTGCTCTATTTAATATAAAAATAATAAGAGAAAACTGTAGAGAATGACAGTAGTTGTACTGATGGCAACATTATCAATATGATTCTTATATTGCACGTGATAGATTCGGTTGTTACCATCGTCAGTAAATAGTAGACTCCCATCTTTAAGCATAAGTAAACCGACTGGACGTCCGAATGTATCAGGTCCTGAAGGATTTGTTAGAAATCCAAAAACAAAATCTTCATAGTAACCAATTGGACGATGAGTAATGTTATTGAATGGCACAAAAACAAGTTTGTAGCCAGTTCCATTGTTTCTATTCCATGAGCCGTGCAATGCTGCGAATGCACCATTCTGATATTTACTTGGAAATTGATTACCTGAATAAAAAACAATATCGATTACACCCGAATGAGCTTGAAATAGAACATCAGGTGTTCGTGTCAGTGAGACTAAATCGGGTCTTTCACTTGTTCCATTTGCCAGACGTCTTCTTGGATCGGTTAAATTTGCACTCAAATAAGCATAAGGCCATCCATAATAATCATTCTGTTGAATTCGTGTAAAATAGTCTGGTACTAGATCATCACCAAGAGCATCTCGCTCCTGGCATGTAGCGTACAAATCGTTTGTAATTGGATGGAAAGCTAAACCGATAGCATTTCTTAGGCCGTGCGCAAAAGTTGTTTGATTACTACCATCAAGATTAGCTTGCTGAACCGAGGCTCGTGGCAAATCTTCAACGTCGAAATTTGATCCTGATCCAATACTGACATATATACGATTGGAAGTAGGTGATACAACAATAGTTCGTGTCCAATGACCATTTTCAGCATAGGCCATCACTAATTCACCTGTTCCTGATATTTGACGACTTCCATAAACCCACGGATAGCGTCGAGTAGCATTTCGATTTCCAACATAAAAATATCCATTCGTAAATGCCATACCATACGGTTGATTAAGCCCATTTGATGCATCAGCAAACGTTGTACGTTGATCTGGATAACCATCGTTATCTGTATCTAACAAACACGAAATTCGATTGGCATTCGGCTCACTGACGAGTAAATCTCCTGTTGGCGTATAGAGAAGATAGCGCGGAGATATGAGACCACTCATGTATAACTTTATTGTAAAACCATCAGGAACGTAGAGAAGAGGATTCGAAGGTACATCAGTAAGATTTCTTCGTTTGAAGGCCGACGGTGTAGCGTATGGTGCTGGAAGATTGTTTACGTTTATGTGAATAGGTTGTGGGATGAAAGTAACATTTTCTCCATTGGTGCAATGATTACTAAGACAAATTATGAGTACAATCAGCAGAAAATTGATACATGATAATAGTGATGACAACATATGTGGTATGCGAGCCAGATGGGTGCTGTTGTTTGTTCGTTTGGTTGACAGTTACTTAAGTCCTCAAATTTATACTAAAAAGATAAGAAAAGCTGAAAGCAAATAAAAGATTAAATTGCCTTCAAACAGCTACTACATCTTAGAGTTTTGATATTTATCGAAGATATACAATCTCTTTACGTATGCGAGCTCCTAACCACCCTTATTTTTTTTCTTTTCTTATTTTTCACGTGGTACGGACATGCGGTTGTTCTACGCTAGGCGATTATTGTAGAGTCATATAAGGAATGATTTATGCGAGTAATTATAAACGTAAGTTCGTCGTGGTACGTAGGTAGTGTCTATAAATAATGAGTATAATTCAAATTACAGCTCGATGAACACTTTTATTTGAAAAACTGGTAAATATTAATTTTAGAATAACATGTCAATGCTTTATTTTTCACGACTGAATATAAACCGGCGCACTTGATCTACTTTATTTATAATTTCAGACCTTCACTGCTTCTTTTAGTCTCATCTAATATTTCACAGATGACGGAAAACACAGAGCCTTAATATAGCCATTGAATAAGATGTATCTAAAAGCCTTCACAAATATGAGTGCCAATGATAATATTCTAAATAAACCTTGTGAACTATACAGGATATTTTTCACACTTTCGTTTCTGTCGATCTAATATGTTGGTTAGGACTCATGCAACCATAGTTTATCTGCCGTGCAGGAAATTTCGGTTACATTCCCATCGATTAGCACCTGGATGGAGTGCTTCTTGATGACGGTGATGGTTTTCGAGTTCATTGCCATTTCGAAATTTATCCACAGTCATGACCAATCTTGAATGTTGCCAGCTAAGATCTTTGTCGATAGAAATTGAATTGTATATGAACCAGTCATGAATTGAATTATTATTTTTTTTAACTTTTCTTCTCAAGTTGGTCTCTGGTGCAAACAGTAGCCCAGCATTGTTGGCATTTTTCGTTGGATAGTAAATGAGCTGAACAGTACAATTTCAATACAGTACCTAGACACGAAGTTCTGTTTTCGTCTCTAACCGTGGTGGATCTAAACTGGCATTGACTACTTCATTTGTTTTGTTTTCGCCTCAATATCTGCGTCTTTGCCATAAAAAAATGGCAGTTAATTGAAGTACTCACTAATTCTGCCGAGCTTAATTTTGGAAAGACGGAATAGTGCTGTGACTCTAACAAAAAAAAACAAATAAGCAACAATGAAATGATAGAATCAATAGAAAAAGAGTTGCTGGCGAGGAAGAAAAAAGATAGAAAACGAGCCTTTCTCATTGTATAGGAAGGCGCGTTGGAGACGTGATCGTTGTGAAACAGCTCGAGTTACTACGATCAACATACTGATGATGATTAAAAAGGAAATAGCAGTCATCACAGAATTATAGGATTGCGCACTGGACTTCGCTATCATCAGATGTAGCCAAAGTTAGAGTAAACAACGAAAAATCCAATTACAAATGCTTATAATCCTCTTTTAACTGCAAGAGACAAGTAGAATGCGAATAAAAGGAAAAAGTAGGTCGTATTTAATGAGAATAAGACGCGAAGGAATGCAAATATTAGTGAAGAAATGCAGTTGTTCCTTTGTTCTCTTGACTAGGGTGTGAATGTAGATGAGATTGTCTAAACTTTCTTACCATGTGCTGCATCGAATGATGTAAAAATCATTGATTTATCTTTAAAAATAGATGAGTAATAAGCGGTAGTTTTGAAGATTAGTGCATCTGTTATAAATAGGAGCACTTTTTCTTATTAAAACAGCAAGCGAAGAACAAACAAAAACTGTCAAAATTAAAAAAGAACTCTGATTTCATTGTTTCAACTTCAAAATTTTCATTTTCTCCTGGAAAAAAATATTTATCATTCCACGAGGAATATTCATGTTCAGGTTGAGCTCTATTTCTTATCAATTCCCAATGGAGTCCCCCGAGAGTCCCTAAATTCTCTCTTAACTCTTCGGGGATTCTCAATAGGGATTCCCCCGGGCATTTGGAGAGGGAGAGTCGACTAGGGTTGGTTATTTTGAAGAAAATCGAAAATTGATTCACAATGAAGTCAATATAACATAAAAGCTAGTCATATTTCTACTTTGATTAGTCAATTATTATTGAAGAATTCGTATATAACTACCCTTTTCAGCATACACATATAAGCTAGAGATGACTTCGACTCTTGTCAAACAGAAAACAAGCAGATCTGACTGTTGTGCTGCCTCTTTGAATGCGTATGATGGAGACGATAGTAGATGAAAATTTCTACTCTTTTTCTAAAGTATACCATATTTTCTTCTACAATTGGGGTAAACATAATCTAAATAAAATAAGAAAGACATAGCGCATGCAACTATAGTAGAGGGATCCGTATCTACACAAAATAACCTAGATACAACTGTAATAAATTGATGTTCAATTGTGTAAGAAGTATTGAAATTGTATACACAATCGATTAAATGATTGGTGAATTGAAACCTACACTAACTACCGGTGATCATTATCTTAAGTTAGTAACAATGTGCTTCGCTGATGTATTTTTGCAAGTACGTACTGAAAGGAATGATGATAGGTTTGCTGTCCTAAGAGACACAAATACTTGAATAAAGTGCAAGTTCTTCAATATCTACTAGCCGAGAACTATTATTTCTTTTTCATGAAAGTTTCCATAGAATGCTTTTTGTTTTCATTTCGTAAAAAAAATTAGACATGAGCCTGTATTTCTAACAATGTTACTTCATCTGCGCAATTTCAATGTTTCAGACAAAAAGTTGAAGTACGAGAAATGAAGTCGCACTTATTCTAAAGGAAACAAAATTGGAACAAATAGTGAGGACTTAAGTGGCGAGGATTCCGAAAGGAATATTCGATATGTAAATTCAGAAAAATTAAGCAAGCTGTTGATAAAAAAAATTCAAAGAGTATATATTAACAAAAGACTGCCGTCCTTGATTGATACACATTACAGCGATAAAATTTTTTTGCTATGAGTCAGTTTAGTAATAGTACGTTATTCGAATGCTGTGCAAGAACGTATCGATGAAAGAAAGTATATTTTTTACTTCTCGTATTGATAATCTACCAAACGTGCTCCACAATCATCCGATTGAAATTGTATGGGCTTTCCCTCAACAAACAAAAAATCTATGCGAATGATTGAAAAACAAAATATTTTTTTCAAAGTATAATGAACGGTATTTGGGAGAAGGTTCGAGATATGTCGTAATAAATACTATATTCTGTTTATTAAGTAGTATTCTGTTGTATTTGTCCTGCTCTTTGTAATAAATAATAGTTTTTGTTTTCTCATGCGCTGAGCTCCAAAGCTCGGCATTTTCTCAAACTCTTTTACACTGCATATTAGAATGATCAATTGATTGGCATGATTTTTATACGTTAGCGAAATTACAGTGATCTCTATCGTGTTTTTTCGATAAGTTTTCTTTGTTTTTTTTTTTCATTTGAAAAACCAAATGTCGTGTGGAACTTTTAAAATCTATATGAGAAAACAAAGGCAGATACGAAGAATCAGCTCAAAGAAGTATAAGTATAGTAGGTAGCCTATTTTTTGCTGATCGACAAAAGTTTCTTCTTTACCAACCCATACGGATTGATTCTTATCTTCGATCAGTTTCTACGGGCCGCAATCACTTTACCGAAAATAGCTTTGCCGACACCACTGTGCCGACAAATTGTTTTGCCGACATGTACATTTTGTCGACAATTTATTTCGCCGACAAAAATTGAAGCCAAAAATAAATTTAAATTTATTGTAGATACAGTGATATATACATCAGCGTCCATACTTGAATGCGTCCAATCTCGGATTGGTCTAGGCCAATGTCACATTGGACGTACTATTTTCAGGCGAATCTTAGAGTGCCTAGGCTAGTCCGAGATTGGACGTATATGCGGGCATGAACGTGATATATATACATAAAGAGATAACAGAATCCAGAATTCAAAATACTATTGCTGACCGTGGTAATAGATCAACTATGGATTTTCTTCGGGGCATTGCCCATAATCTTTCACTTTGAGTATTTGTAATTTTCATTAAAAGAATTTAAAAAGCTCAAGAAAATAAAGAATTTTCTAAAAAAAATTAATCAGCTTTTATTAATATTAACAAATTTTGTCTGTAAAATAAGTTGTTGACAAAGTGTACATGTCGGCAAAAAGTACGTGTCGACAAAGTGGTGTCGGCAAAGTTATTTTCGGTAAAGTGATACGGACCCGTTTCTACTAGTTCATAATTGCGTGTTATTCTATTCGAGATCATTCTACAACGTAGACAATAAGAGTAATGCATAAGATACATGATTGTCAGAACTTGGAGTCGCTTCTTCTTGTATATACATCAATATTATTTTGAGCTTCTTTTGTATATTCAGATAAACAAAAGTTTTCTCTCATTAACTACAATTGCAGCTCATTTGGGAGAGATTGAATTATCTTTACGTAAAAAAGATATGAACAATAATTCAGAAATTATTTTTCTTCTGAATGTTCATTGATTCACGTCAATGCTCTTTAGGCTGTGAATACAGAAAAAGAAAGACACTATGGTTTGCAACATCTTTTCAAGTTCATTGGATAATCATATTTATAATCGGGTACTTTGCCTGTCACTCATTTGGTAAATTTTGTAATCGATGTCGACACCAATTTGTCTGTGTCCAGATTATATGTTTTCATAACCATTTTGATTGGTTTTTGTTCTGCTTTTTTGACATACAATCA